CACTACAAAAAAGCTTTCATGTTACAATACTATAATTGTACTTCTTCAGATGATGATATGTAACTGGCGATTAAACCACCATTGCAATGGTAAGTAACTGGTGATTAATCACCAGTTACACACCATCGCCTGAAGAAGTGCAATCACAGTAATGAAACATGAAAGCTTTTGTGTAGCGATTTCAACATGTTTTTATTATAAGCTCTTATAATAAAAATAATAATAATATATAATGATAAATAATATACAATAATAATATATGGCTCTACTTTGTATTGAGCACTTTTTAAAAGTAAATGCTATGAACAGTGGAATTTTACTCCATCTGTTCTTTCTTATTTTTATTTATATATATATATATATATATATATATATATATATATATATATATATATATATATATATATATATATATATATATATATATATATATATATATATATATATATATATATATTTGGTTGATAGATATTGAACGCTTTCTAATAAGTACCATGTGATAATTATACATATATATATTTATTTATATTTATATACACTTTTACATATATATATATATATATATATATATAGATAGATATAAAAGTGTATATATAAATTGAACATGAAGTCAACACTTAGGTGACAGTCTGTTTCATGCTAGATGCAATCATCAGACCACTTGATGATTGCATCTAGCATGAAACAGACTGTTAACTCTAAGTGTTGACTTCTATGTTCACTTTTATATGAGAGAATCATGGAAGATTGTAGTTTAAAGACAGTAAAATCGACCTTACTAACCAAGCACTCCTCTGTGGCCCAATTGGTTAAAGGCACATCAGGCTATATGACGGTTCTGTGTAGAATACAGGTTTGATTCCTGTCAGAGGATGAATATTTTCTATGAAAATTTCTTGGACATTCAGGCTGGTAAATGTTGTTTAATACTATTTATTATAAACAGAGCATTTACTTAAATATTTGTATCTATTAAAAGAATGCATGAACATAAAAATGTCTTAAAATAATTGTTGGACTTGGTCCATTTCATAATGTGTGACATCATTTGTTTACATTTGGATAAGACATGAACAAATATGAATGTACATAAGAGAATCATGGAAGATTGTAGTTTAAAGACAGTAAAATCAACCTTGCTAAACAAACGCTCATCTGTGGCCCAATTGGTTAAAGGCACGTCACGCTATATTACAGTTCCATATAGGATACAGGTTCGATTCCTGTCAAAGGAAGAATATTTTTTATGAAAATTTCTTGGACATTCAGGCTGGTAAATGTTGTTTAATACTATTTATTACAAACAGAGAATTTACTTAAATATTTGTAACTATAAAAAGAATGTATAAACATAAAAATGTCTTAAAATAATATATATATATATATTTAATAATATGTGGAAATCTCCGCTTTTACCTGAAGAGAGTCATGAGACCAGAAACACGTGTAGTAAAATTATGGAAAATAAAGCATATACTTTTTTCTAAAAAAAACATTACAACCAAAAATGTTTGCGGCACCTCTCTTTTCTTCTTTTTAATATACATACTTTTCTCTCGTTGGAACCACTGCAACCTCTTATTTTTATGTATATATATATATATATATATATATTTATACACAATGAAGACAAGGAGTTTCTTTCTCAGTAGGCTTATGTTGTGCTTAGATACTAACCTAGTTATTTCATATATATACAATAGAACACCATACACATATATAGTGTTCTACCTATATACATGTATATGTTATTAAGCATTTATACTATCATGTCTATGCAAGGGAATACAAAAACCTACCAGGACTAAAATACAAAGACACCTTCACATATTTGAGGATGGATCACATAGTGGCACTACTCCAAATCAAGTTGCAACCATCATTATATATATATATATATATATATATATAATAAAAATAATAGTTTAAAAATAAAAATTTCAGATTTAATCCATTTCTTTAAATAAATTGTCTTTGTTTATGTTAGTATATGAAACATGGCATCGATATTAGTACAACTAGCAAGGTGAGTTTATTGTCATTTTCTCTCTACATTGTGAACTGTATCGATGATCTTATTGAGTTCACATGGTCCAGTCGTAGCTGGACTTCTTCCTGGGAGCATCTTTGATTATTTCCATGAAGTGGGCAGTGTTTTGGACATATGAAGGTGACTTTCCTATTACTATTTCCTGTTTTACATTTTCTAGCTTGGCAAATTTCTATGATTTGATTACAACCTTAACTTCATTGCAGAGAGACACTGGATGATAGTTTGTTATCTTACTGGGCAAAAAGTTAGTAGACGGGGATCAATCTGCTTTGTACTATTATTTGATATTTGTAAATTGCTCATTGCCATAATTCATAATTATTCTTGGGAGGAATAGTGGAGTAGTTTCCTATTGTATTCTCGATGATGATTTTATTGAGACACTGTATCTAGTTAAAGGTAATTTATTTTTGGAGTACATCTGCCCTTTGATAAGTCTTAATTTTCATCCAACTGGCTTACTAACCAATCTCCTTGTACACACTGAAGTAGGGTGGTGAAGAAGTTAAGTCAACAACAACCTGGAAAGTAAAATAGCTATACTTGTGCTTGATATTATAAGCAAAAATTTAAACTATTCCCACTTGGTTATATGACTGTTACAGGAGATATGTAGATTTGTCAGCAGCCTACCACTGATAAGAATTTATAGTCTTCTGTGGTGCCATATGTCCATCAGGGACAAAAGCAGATAAAACTTCCAATTCTTAGTTAATTTATGATTTTGTTTTATACAAGTTTCAACTGAATTAAGTTCCTGATTTCTTGGTCTCTCAACTTTCTTTGAATCTTCTACCATGCTACTATTTAGTGAGATTGATTTGAAGCCTCTTGTTTTTCATTTGATTCCAACAGATTAAGCTTGCCAGCAATTTGACAAATGGCTGCTACTCCTACAACTAATTTGACCCTCTCTATTTGGAATTGTTTTGCTTAACTATCCACAATAAATATAAATAAAAAAAAATTAGTTAGAAATAAATGAAGCAACATAATTTATTGTGAAACATTGGATAGATTTTCAATTAAAAGAATAAAAATAGCCAAGAATAAAAACATGTGAACAAAATTAGTATTTTTGTTTTCTGTTTGTTTTATTTACTGAATTTTTTGATGCAGATTTAGTCGGAGTGTTTCAAGCACCTAACATATTTGAAACAATCTGTCAATGTTTAAAGACAACCTTTATTAGGTGAATCTTTAAGTGACACATACACAATTGAAAGAGTATTTAAATAATTATTTTTATATTCAACTGATTGCTATTGCAGCCTTTGTTCCTAATTTAAAATTGTATAGTAGATAAACTTACACAATACTTTTTTAAAAAGTGATCTGATATTAAATAAGTTTAGATTTCACGTTACTAAAAACATTTACAGGCTGTTGCCATTCATAGTTCATTCTTTTTCTCAGAGCTGATAAAAAGAGCATTGAAATCTATACAAAGTTTATTGATGCCATGATTATATCTAACGTTCTCCACTGATATGAAGTGGAATGACTATACTGAATCCAATGCTAGGTCAACAGCTAAAAAAGTTGGTTCATTGTGTCATGAACCTAAATCTCTCATGCATATTTACAAGTCTATCATTTGCCTATGGGTAGAATATTGTTTCTACATATGTACCTGTACCTGTAATGGCATTCACCCAGGGTGAGTTGAGCCGGCTCCAATATTGGAGTTTCATGGGAGTTTGGAATTCACAAGAGGTCCCCAACCCGCATGTATAGCACATGAGATTTGATTATAGTGGTGAAGGTTTCGTGCAGAACCATCCACACTTTTTGAAGGGCGGATTACAGAGACTACGTGCCACAAGGTTCCCAAACGACCCTCTGCAGGTTTTGAATTCAGAGTTTTTCCTTCTCCTAGACCAGTTGCCATCCAAGGCTATAAGAACCCAGTCTGTCCTGCTATTTACCCATAGCTGGAGGGAGAAGAAGAGGATTTACACCTTTCCCAAGGGTATTAGCATGTAAGTGAATGTAATGGATTAGACTGGAATTCGAACTCGGCTCTCCGATTCCTCAATCCAAGCTGATTATCCATTAATCCACCATTTCTCCTGCATAAGCTGCCACATATGGTCTGGTGTTCTTGCTATATTTCTAGTGATATTTGATAAAGTAATCAGTAATATCATTGGTCCTGATCTGAAATTTCGGATTCAATCAATTTCCCACCATTGTAAAATTGCCTTCCTATGGTCTTTCTGTAAATACTTTCATGGCAACTCTTCCGACGAGCTTTTACTCCAGTATCTAGACTTTTTGAATACGGTACTAGACTGGCAATGAGGTCTCACCAATATAGTTGAATTGGTTAGATGTAACTGTATGTTCTCTGGTAACAGTTTCTTTTTCTGTACTCCTCGATTGGGAAACTCTCTTCCGGTTCCATGCTAACCAGCCAATTTTAATCTTCAAAAACTTAAATGCAATGTCAATCACTTTCTACTGTGCCTCTCATTACACTTCTTGTGTTCTTACTCATTAGTAATGCTTCTGTTTTCTAATTCTTCTGCACACAGTAACCCCTTGTGTCTTAATGGTTTTACATCCTTGCTTGGGATGAAATCAATTAAAAAAATATCTATATATATGTGTAAAAATTTGGATACAGTGTAACCCGGATATAAGAGAGTTTCTCTTATATCCGGGTCTCTTATATCCGGGTTACACTGTATAACTAAAAATATATCTGTAAATTAATAAAATCCATACATTTACCTTAATAAGGTTCATCAGAGGACAAAACATGTTGGCTAAGAAAGATTCAATGATTTACTGATACATGTCTTACTAGTTAACCCATAGCTGGTGGGTAAGAAATTAATTCATACCTTTCCTAAAAGTATTTACATGTAAGTGAATATAACAATCCCAACTGAAATTGGAACTCGGTTCTCTGATTTTGAGCAGTTACCCATTACACCACCTGCACATCCTAGTATTCCCAAGCAATCACCCATCTAGGTACTGACCAGGTTCAACCTTGCTTAACTTTGGTGATTGTATGAGAACCAGTGTTTCAGCATGATATGGCTGTAAGCCCTATGTATATGTGTGTGTGTATAGATAAAGGGAAGTATCATTTAATTTCATGTTGCAGTTCAAAATTTTATAAATACACATTGGTGAAAATAAGTATTTCATCCTCTGCTGATTTTTCTGAGCTTGCCACCTTACAAAAATGGGAACAATCTATAATTTTCAGAGTAGGTCTGTCTTGAAAATGAAAGATAGAATATAAAAAATGTTCTAGAAAATCACATTATATTAATTTTTGAACATTTATTTCTTTTTTATTGAAAAAATAAATATTTCACCCCCTACCAATCAGCAATGATTCAGGCACCACAGACCGGTTATGTGACCAGAAAGCATATATATTAGTCCTTTTAAGCAATCATTACTCTTAATCAAGTACTCATTACCTCTATAAAAGTCACCAGTTCACAGAATCCTTCATTGAATCAGAATCTGGTCTCTCCACAATGTCCAAGATGAAAGAATTGTCTAAGGACATGTGGGACAAAAATGTATACCTGCACAAGACTGGAATGGGCTACAAGATGATTGGCAAGCAGGTAGATGAGAAGGAGTCAACTGTTGGTGCGATAATAAGAAAATGGAAGAAATACCAATTGTCTATCATTCTCCCTTGTTCTGGAGATCCATGCAAGATCTCCCAATGTGGAATGAACCTGATGATGAGAAAGGTGAGGAAACAACCCAAAACTATGTGGAAAGAGCTTGGACCAGCTAGAACTACAGTCATCAAGATGACCATTAGTAACACACTACGTCATACTGAACTGAAATCATGTAGTGCCTGCAAGGTCCCCCTACTCAAGAAAGCACATGTATAAGCTCATCAGTAGTTTGTAAATGGGCACCTGGATGATTCAGAGGAGGGTTGGCAGAAAGTGCTGTGGTCAGATGAGACTAAAATTGAGCTTTTTGTCATCAACTTGACTTGCCGTGTTTGTAGGAAAAAAAAAACCTAACTTTGACCTCAAGAACATCATCCCAACCATTAAGCATAGTGGTGGAAACATTATGCTTAATGGTTGGTTCTCTGCTAAGGGAATAGGATGACTACACCAGGTAGAAGGAAAGATTGATGGGGCCAAGTACAGGGAAATCTTGAGTGGAAACCTCCTTGCTTCAGGACACTGAAGATGGATCATGGATGGATGTTCCAGCATTACAATGACCCAAAACATATGTCTAAGGCAACAAAGGAGTGTCTCAAGAAGAAGCACATTAAGGTAATGGAGGGGCCTAGTCAGTCTCTGGACCCTAATTCTTTAGAGAATCTGTGGAGGGAGCTGAACAACCTCGAAAGCTTAAGGATTTGGAGAGTATCTGCAAAGAGGAGTGGGTCAAAATCCCCACTAGGATCTGTAAAAACTTGGTAACCAACTACAGGAAACATCTGGCTGCTGTGCTTGCCAACAAGGGTTTCTTCACCAAATACTGAGTTATATTTTGCTATGAGGTGAAATATTTATTTTTTCAATAAAAAAAAATAAATGTTCAAAAATTAACATAATGTGATTTTCTAGAAATTTTTTTATATTCCATGTCTCCCTTTCAAGACGGATCGACCTTGAAAATTATAAGCCGTTCTCATTTTTGTAAGGTGGCAAACTCAGAAAATCAGCAGGGGATGATATACTTATTTTCCCCACTGTATAAAGGAAAAAATTATGCTTTTAGTTTTTAAACTGTTGTAAATGTAAAAATCAGTTTTTCTCAATATTTATCTCCTTTTATTTAGAAATGGTGTAAACATTATTGTCTTTCATGTTTTTACTCAAAGCAAATCAGATAATGGAACTGGAGAGAAAATCTTCCCTTTCTTCTTTACAAGAATATAACATCAAATATTTTTGGCACCATATCAACAAAGATCATCTTGTTAAATGTTGGTATCATGAGCCGATGAACAAGAAGGAAGAGGTGAAAAATTACTTGCATGAAGCATTTAATAAATCTACAGTTAATTTCAGAATCTGTGGATTTTCTTAGAACTGATAGCGGAAAACAAAAAGGTTTTATAGAAAAATGCAGCTAGAAAGAACGCATAGTTAGAATCAGAAAGTGACACTTGAAATTTCTGGTGCACATAATGTGGAAAGAAGATTTGGAGATTGATATTCTTGTGATAAGTAGCATGCAGAAGGTGCAACAACTCTGGGCATTCATCCAATCAAAGAGTGAAATAAAAATTTAGTTTATATTTAATTTGAATAAAGAGTTTATTTCATGTTTCATCTATATTTACATATTTAAAATGTCTTCCTTTCTCACTTTTCTCAGTATTAGGTCATCTTACTTGAGTCTAAGGGGTATACAATCAAGGAGATGGGCCCCAGGCAGCACCAAACATTATGAAACCTATGCATATGATATACTGAAGATAAAAGATTCAGATTGAAACCCCAGTTAACCTACGTAATGAGTCTGTATAGTGTAAATGGATGACTGAATGTACTTGGAAGGATAGCAAATAGGCAAATGTTACTTAGAGCTACAAAGGATGGGACGTTGTTGTGGAGAGCAATTATTATGTATATTTCAGAAGCTTTCTAATAGTATGATGATATCAAACAACATTGTAACTAAAAGTAAGAAAAACCATAAATTTACATTTGAAGTACAAGATTTCTTTTTCAATTGAAAATACCAGATAACATCAATTTTTTATAAGAGTTCTCGTATTTAATTTACTTTCATCCAATTCAAAATCACTAATAGAGAACAAATTACTTCATCTCTTAATCTAGGAAAAACAAGGACAGTTTAATAAATCCTGTGTAGATTAGTTGAAAAGACATTAACATCTTATTAATATAAAGAGAAATGGATTCAAAGCAAAAACAACAACATTAACAAAGAAAAAGATAAAGCAGACAATATTCTTTTTTTTAAGTTCTTTATTTGATCATTTTAGCAATGGAAATTGATTGATGTAACAGATTTTATTGTTGATGTCTTTCATTTTTTGTTGTTTTCTTTTATTTTGTATTCATTGTTTTTAGCAGACAAATCTTTCTGATTAAATATTTCTTGAAGAAAGTCTTCCCATGGCAGGCATTCAAGCATGGAGAATTCTTCTTCGATTTTGGCAGATTGTCATCCATTTTGAAGGCTGTACGATAAATTAATGAGACAATGTTAACCTTAGATCATTACAGCAAGTTCTTCAGGGAGAAAGGGAAAGAGAAAGGCCCAAGGAATGATGAATGTAGATTGAGGTAGAAAAAGAAAGATAGAAAAAAAGGGAAACAAAGATATCAAGATGAGGGTGAGGTCGAAACAGAGATCAATAGGGAAAGAGATTGAAAGAGAGGTAAAAGTGAGATAAGATGAAAAATAATAGTTGGAATCAAGCATAGGAGAGATAAAGAGAGAAATGGGAAAAGAATGAGATAAAAATATAAAAATAATATTGGTTAAGAAAAGGAGAAAAATATAAAAGTATTGGTTAAAAATGGGGGACAATAAAAGATATAATGGAAAACAACTAGAATTTGATGTTGGGATAAAAAAAAAGATATAAAAAAGACAGTTTCATTGTGAAAGAAATAGAAGACATACAGTCTGAAATAGCAATAGTGTGAACAAAAATGGGAGGGAATCAAGCAATGAATATGGAAGAAAAAAGAAAAGGAAAGATCTTATTAGAGAAGATAGAAAGACAAGATGCAGATAAGTGAAGTTTTAGAAATTAATAAAAAGCTTGACTAAGAAGGTAAGAAAAAAAGGGAGTGCGATAAGCAAAAGCAGTAAAAAGATGAAGAGAAATCAGAGGAACTGGAAAGAAAGAATAAAAACAGCCATGAAACACAAATCCAGAATAAATAAAATCTGAACTGATTGATTGAAAACAAGTAACAGGCAGACAGGGTAGAAAAATGGATGCAGATCATGTTGGAAAGAAAGAAAAAAATGTTTAAAATCATAAGAAGAGAAATAAGAAAGTTTTTGAATAAAAAATATGTGAAAGAAATATTAAAATTTAATAAACTGAACTAAAAATAATCATTGCTTTCATTAAAAGTGTGAGTAATTTGTTACCAATATTAAGAGGATAAACTGTTTTTATGGAACACAATTTTCGTCTAAAGACCTAATCAATAGCAATGGTAGATAAAAAGAAACAAGCATTCCTCATTTTTAAAACTCCAAGAAAAGTAATTGCAATAATCTCTTCTGGCTAGAACATGAACATTTCAAGTGAAATTTCAGGTTATTTTTAAAAAAAATAGCATACCAAAAATAGCTGAAAAAGACCAAAAAAATAGTGAGATTACTGATGAAGACTAAAGTTAGATCAATATAGAAAAAGAAAATCTGTACCTTGCCATGAGAGAATGACCCTTTTTTGTAGGGAGCCTGATCTTCATCAGTAATTCACTTCTCTGGCCTTATGATAAATTAAAAATACCTCTGTTTATGTATACGCTTCCTAAAACCGAGATGATCCAAGCAAATCTCTTCTTTTAACAAAGTAAAACGATTTGCTCAGCTACCAGATGAACAATGGTAGAGAATAATGACTTAATATCAACTTGTCTGCACCTTTTCATTGTCTTTTGTGCATGTGTTTTGGATAAAAAAAAAGATTGTTTTTACCATGAAGCATGCAGAGTCTTAAGCTGGACCATCAGGGAAGTAATCAGAGACAAAACGTGTGAGAAAAGAACTCTACATACCACAGCAAGTAATTGATATGCTTGATGATTTATCAGAACTAGAATATGACAATGATTACTCAGGAGCTCAGGCAGAAGGGTTAAAACTGTTCAGGAATGCAGGGCTCAAAGGGTTAAGAAAGAAATAACAGAAAAAGTAAGATTAATAGAGAGGGTGAGAAGAAGCGAGAGATAATCAGTAATGTTTGGAGAGAGTGAGATGACACAACCTGTGATCTTGATATATTCAAGGTTCATATTGATATCTTTTAAATATTTATGATTACCTGTTTTTATAATTTGAAAAATGTTTACTTCCTCTTTTGTAGGAATAGGATAAAAATG